GTGCAGCATGGTTTAACAAGTCATGTGTTTCGGATTGAACAAGGAGTAGATCAAGGCCGTGTGTTGTCTGCCTGATTATTTTCCGTATTTATTAATGACTTGATTTGTGAACTCATATCGACAAATTGTGGACTACTAGTAAGTTCGATCAGCATACCAACAATTTTGTAAGCCGATGACACAACTTTATTAAGCGCAACAGTAAATGGTGCTCAGACATTATTAAACCTTGTTAACAGCTATGCGCTAAAATATAATGCGTCGAAAAGCAGTGTTATGACTTTTACACCACAAAGAAAGACTCGCAACAATAATGACTCTGCAGCATGTCTTAACCTAGGTAATAGTGTACTCGAAAGAAAACGTACATGTACTTACGCTGGAACACTTATTAATTCAGATGGAAAAACTTTCGACAGATCAGATAACTCCAGTAAAAAAATAAAACAGAAACTTCTCTCACTTTATACTGTTGGTGTTAATCCACGGGGGATGAGTGCCTTATCAAATGAGTTAATATGGAAAAGAATTATCCTTACAACTGCACTTTATGCATGTGAAACGTGGGGTCAGCTACCCTACTGCATACCTGTCAACTTACACGGATCCTGCGGGTGTGACCCGAGATTTTCACAATTCTGAGGGGTCACCCGGAACACCCGCCGGGTGACCAAATAACCCGGGAATTCGGAAAATAACCCGTTTTCACCCGGATTCCTAAGCCTTCAGATTGATTAGATATAAAGTGATTTTAATGAAATACCGGCAAATTCGTAATTCTTCCTGGATAAGAAGTTCAACTAGCTGTGTAAACTCAGCTCAACTGACCCATTTCAGTGCATGGATTCACTTGACAGCTTTAGTGTCAAACACACTGTTAATTAACACCAATTACCTTAGCTTTAGGTCGTAAATAATTTGTGTATTTCAAAGTTGTTTTAAAAACAACTTGAGTTACTTCCCCTTTTTTGTCAATTCACAATATACTCCTTAAACTTATGTTTTTTTTTTTGTAAAAAGATTAAATCTAAAATGAATTGAATGCACAAACATATCAGAATAATACTTTTACTTATTGTTTTACCTTAGAACAATTAAAAAATAAAAATTTTGAAAATTACTTTTTTCATCTATACCTCATTTAATTGTTTAACTTTATTTTATTATTCTCTAATATCAATCACTCAATGTTTAGCTGTTTAAATGCTGCACAAATATATGTAAAGGAAACACAAATTGGCACATTGTAAGGCAATATAACACAAATCTATCAATGGCCTCCAGGTGCAATGAAATAATATGTACAATTTTAAATTACTTAACCATGTGGAAATGTTTTGGAAACTTTGATATAAATTATAAGAAAAATGTCCCCTAAATACTGAAATTCAGCTCGAAAAAGTTTGTACGCGTTATGACCTGAGATTTCATTCTTTTATGCAGGTCATCACCTGCATTTTCATTGTCATAGGTTGACAGGTATGCTACTGTGAAATTGAAATGTTGGGAAGAACTCAGATACTTGGTCAGAAGTATACTAATGATGGATAAACGCAGTCCGACTGACTCTTGCATTAGTATTGTTGGTTTATGGTCTGTAGAAGGATATATTGATAAAATGAAACTTTTGTTTTTTGGAAGGTTGTGTCGTGCAAAATCAACAACAATACATAAACAGATGTTCAATTTTCGTATTGGACAAATACATGTATTAGCCGGTAAGTCCAGTCAAATATCATTGACTTACGATTATATCAAAATTTTGATGAAATATGAATTTGATCTTTTTGTTGAAAACTTAGTGGCTGAAAATTTCTTTCCAGACAAATTACAGTGGAGCAAAATTGTAAAACAGACTAGACATATACGAACAAAACAAATTAATGGAAACACTCAGTTGAACGGCGACCAGAACTTAAGCGATACGTACATGTTATCTGGATGTGGATATGTAGATATAGAAAAATATCAGCCCGCGAGCCAGAATATGAAGCTAAATGTCGAGTGAGCGTAGCGAACGAGCCATTTAGCTTCATATTCTGTCGAGGGGGCTGATATTTTTCAATATCTATACAATCCACATTCAGATAACATTTTTATCATCTTTCAAAGCAATTTTTTTTATCAAAATTTCCTTTTTCAATAATTTCGCGGGAATTGTTATTACCAGAGTGTCTCTGTTATTACTAGGCAACACACGTCATCAAAATATTAAACCGCGGATACACCTTGTGGCCAAAATACGCAGGGTAAAATATTCCCATTAACTAGAGGAAGAAAAATGTTTCGTGTACATGATAATGCATATATGAGAGTATAATATTTGAAGATGATACAAAAAAAAAAGAAATATTAAAGATTATATTGAAAGATCGTGGTATTTCATATCACCAGAAGAAGAAAATTTCTACTCGCTGACTGCTGAACAGCATACGGTTCATAAAAAAAATCCAGAAACGCATCAAAATGCTGTTTGTTTTCAAGACTAAAAGTAAACATATATATTTAAGTAGTCGTAATTCGTAAAGGAGAAGTTAATTTGAGAAAGACAGATGTTGGTAAATTGTCCTTCTTGTATGTAAATACCTCGACATCTCGCACCTTGTACCCGCCATTCATTTGTACGTGAGAAGACAAGGAAGGTAGGTGTTATTTTTGTAACGACTACCCCACCAAATTGCATTGGAACGGTATTCTGGTTCAGGTTATGGGGTACCATTTCCTATAAGTGCTTTGCCAAATGTTATCATTGAGGAAAACATATTTGGTTCAAACATGTCAAAATTTTCCGTCAAATATTTTCTTCTCAAATATTGAAATAATAGTCCAAATAATTATGACGTCTTGAAAGGCTATTATATTTTTTTTCTTTGACGCCTTACATCGTCGCAGGAAGGCGTCAAAGCAAAAATTTAAAATAGCCTTCCAAGATGTCATAATTATTTGGACTACTCAAATAACAGAACCAGATCACCTGGATTTTTGAAATATTATACAAAATTGCTTCGCTGCATTCTGTTTGTCCATGTACATTGATATATCATTCTTTTGATGACTTGGAGTTAAAATGACAAGGTACATCAGGTTTATGATTCTTGAAAAAAATTATGCTTTCAGTGTATTCAACTAGGTAGCTCAGGGATCAGAGCATCTCTTTATGAGAAGGTCTTAGGTTCAAATCCTAACTTAGTAACATTGATACAGTAAATACTATAAATGGAATCTTAACATGTTTTACATGTTTTAATCATTTGATATTTTGCCCTCTTCAGTCTATATCATGTGAATTATCAATGTACATATACAGATATAGCCAATATATATGATTTACACCATTTTTCACAACATAAACATTAAATTGTGACTTTTTGTGGAATTTTTCAGGATACCAATTTAATATGCAGTGAACATGATAATAAATTGTTGTATGTGTGCTTTTTTTTATGAAACAATTATTTTTCTTTGTTTTACAAGCAATTTGAGAAAACTTGGTATATGTAATTCAGGCTCAAATAATTTGACATTAGTGATACATGTATGTACATGCACTCAGTTTGACTTTGACTTTCATTTGCTGAATTTCCCCCGAATTGAAGTAAGAAATGTCTGTTTGATTGGTCTTCAAAAGCATTATCTTTGTCAGTAGCCATTTCGTATGTTTGTTTTGTTTTGTTTTGTTTTAGCAGACGAAATAAGTATTTTAGACTTGTCAGAAAGAGGGTTGTTGTTTTGTGGTAGATTTTTCACCCTATTTTATTATTTAAAATGAAATGTTTAATCTAGAGTGTATAATATATGTGCATTTAATTAATCAATTTTTATTATAAGTTTTACTGTGAATTTTATGTTCACTATAAATGTTTTTAATAATTTAAACTGCCACCCCCGCATTGTTGACATTTGTATCGATAGATTGATTTCAATACAGGTCAGATCAATAGTACAAATTAGGTCAAATAGTTCAGTTCTGAAAAAAAGTAGTCCCGGCAGAACTTATCAAGACTGCCGTCGACACCATTTTATCAACATCTCGTTTCAGAATGTAATTTTAGGAAAAAAGAAATGGTTCATTGTAAAATATGTACTGCAAGTGTAATTTATTTTATTAAAAGAATTTATTTGGTGACTTATCACCATTACAATACAAGGCAATATGTTGGGAGAATTTGTTGATAAGTCCTGCTCACTTGATAATGTCTCCTCACTTGCACGCGCTAACTGGATACGAGTTTTACAGATATGTTCAGGAAGCTGATATAGCGGTAGGGAAGCATGATAATATAAAATACATACATGTCTGACGGAGCATCGTTTATTACGACTAGCGGTAACATATCCATCTTTAAATTCAAAATTTATGACGCTTGTGAAATTAGGAGCCATAGCTATTAAAACAGGCAAATGCTCTTTTTGTAACTTAAATAATACGGATATACTTATGCACTATACATTATGCTGTACATCACTTTTACAGAAATGTTCTACAAAATAGTTGATATTCTTGACGTAGAAGATTCCGTTAGTTTCTTTAATCAAGATGATGACGAAATTGTAGAGTCGTTACTTAGAAGTATGAACCATACCATGCAAACTCTAAATGCTGATGTATGGAGCCTCTTGATGTGCCATATAGCACATTATATGTTTAAACTATATCAGGTCTTCAAATATGATCTTTATAGTCACATATTTGATCTAAACTAATGTTGTTCTTGTATGAAAATTGGTGAAGAATAGACGTTTTTTTCTATTGTATTTCCTATAATTATGTAATTATATATATCCTTTTTGGATTGGTGTTATACTTAGATGTTGTTTAGAATATGTAAATTATGTAAATATGTTTGTGTAATGTTTTTGATGCTGTTCGTATATTATAAATTGTAAAAATCTTCATATATATGGAGGAAATAAAGATAATCATGTTGTTAATATGTTTCGATTGCATTATTGAATTGTACCATTCTTGTGTTGTCTTGGAAAGAAAGATAACTCGGAAGTATCAACAAAACAATTTACTTTAAAACCCATCATAATTTAAACAAGAAAAACAAAAACATTACGCATCACAAATCTCTCTTGAACGATAAATCACAATGTTTTCGTATAGATCTACACAGTAAACATTCTGAACCTAGTGAGGCAAATTCTATTCTGTGCCACTCTGTCTTTTCATCATAACGAATCTGAAAAACAAAAACAAACATCTTAGGAAAAGGGGTTATTTTAGGCTGACTGGTCGTAAATTGTCAACTATTTTGGATAGGCCTCCAAAAAAGATACTCATACTATAGATAGTGTAATCGAAATGATCCGACTCGAAGTACTGCATATAAGCTTGACGTACATTTTTGTTAATGAAATTTAGGCACAGCAGTTTACCAAATTTCAAATAAATCCACGAACTATCTTGCGCTTAACATAATTACACGAGTCCATTGCATTCTTTTGGGAAAGTTAACAATTGTTTTTTTATAACTTTTTTTTAACAACTTTATGTGTTCAGTATTCTTTTTTCATGGAATAAGCTACTGCTTTGACAATGTATTAAATGTCCTAGTACTTTCGAATTAAATCCTATAATGCACATGTTATATTTCAGAATGGCACCACGTGACCCTAAACATTTATTGTGTCCATCTAAATTCCAAAAGTGGAGTAAAATAATAAATTATATAGATAATTTTCGTTTTATAAACAAACAGTTTTTGTTAAATAACACACCAGTTATTTCAAATTGGCAATTGATATTGTTAGTTTTCCTTAAATTTGATGCCATAAGGTACACAAAGTTTCTTATCAATTATTCGACATGGGATGTATTGCAAACAGATTATTATATGCCTACCACACAGTATTGAGAAATAAGTCTATTCGTACCCTAAAATGCATGTTATCATTCTTTCGGAAATGGAATCTTTTTGAATCGTAGTAAATGTATTTCATTAAAATAACTCTCTGAAACACAGAATCTGGACCACCAGCGGTTTGTAGTTTTATATGATTAGATCCTTCTGTAGGGCCTGGACCAAATATTCTTTGAACAATTGCTATTCCACACACAGCACTGAAATGATTAATAACATTTAATGTTAAAAAAAATAATGAAATTCATATTACAGGAAATGCTAGCTATTTTCTTAGATTAACATATCAGTATGATATTCATGACGTTACACAACAATAGTATTAGGACTTTCCCATTGATTTTGTTTGTAAATTACGGCTACGAAATGATATCTTTGTTCTTGGACGAATTTTTCCTAGCAGTAGTGATATCTGTAATAAATTATGGGAAATGGTGTTTAATTAGCTGCATTAGATATTCTATTGACCATTTGGTACTTCTCTATAAAATTATTTTATGTTCTCGAAAGAGAAAAACCCTATTGTTTGAATTTTAAAATGAGATTCAAATGCTTTTAATGTACTTCGCAATGAATTTAAATACAATTGATTATAATTCTCATTTACATGTACAAGGCAATTGCTAATTTAATGTTACAGATAAGAGAGGTCAAGTTTTTTAGTGTATAATTCGTAATGTTATGAACATTAAGAATATATGTAACTGTAAATGTGATTAAAACATAAGAAGATACCAAGGACCAATTAAAGACCTTAAGACAGATAGAAACCAAATGTAAAATGAATACAACAATCAACAAAATAACAGACAGAAAACTACAATTGAGGAAACAAACCGCACCAAAATCTGAACTGCTTCTGAGAGCTAGCAATTTAGGTTCAGCTAGCACCCTTCGAGTTATTCTTCTTAAAATTCGATAAGTTGGAGTCGGTGATAAAATTTCATTGCATATTGGATAGGTAAACTTTTCTGATCTACCCTTCACACATTACCAACTAAATATATCATCGATAAATGTTAATTATTTAACGCCAATACATGAACGATACAACAGTCATTTAATTTTTGACTGCCACTTGAAACAAACGTATTTTGATGATGGGCAGAAGTTTTGAATTTCAACAGATCGGCTTATGATCCTTTAACGAGTTGGTGGTACTTGTTCCATAGCGCTTACAAATTGTAGCACTCTCCAATACATTATGCCTCGGATTAAACGTCCCAATTTGGAACGAACGACTTGGCTGACAAAATGGTCTTGCTGTCGGACGGAAGACGTCAAGGTAATCATATTATATAGGAATAGTATACGCAACTCAACTTTAAAAGTGTGACAAATATATTTAGAAGAACAAATATACATTACAAAAACAAATCAGACTAAAATCTGGAAAAGATAGTTTGGATAACTATCTACTGGCATGAAAATACGGATCTTGTCTAATTGAAATTTGCCGTTATAAAATTTTGTAAACATTTTAAATTAAGGAACATATCTCCTTCATGCAAAGCTCTAATTCCTATTCCAGAATCGGCTATACTTTAGGTCCTTCTGGTTTTATCAGCTCTGCAACGTTTGTATTATGTTTTGAATTTTCATTTTTTTTTTGTACTGGAGCATCACTGAAGAGTCACTAATTGACTTAATGGGCATCTGACAACTTAAACTTGTACCGTTAATGTAATTTCTGCTAAAGGTCTCCAACACATCTCAGAATGAAATATTGTTTTAGATGAGACTTTACGCAGTTCTTATAAGGGTCGATAATGGTCCTTCTCTTCCCACATCTTTTTAAAAAAGACTTACTTTATTGATTCCACATTCATCTTCTACAATGCTGAAAAGGATATAAAATTTGTATAATCACTCAAACATAAATAATCACGTTAAAATGACTGTAACGAAGTTTATTTTAATGTAGATGTGGTCAAAAGGGTGCATTTATTTCAAGATAACATATATCATTCAAACATTGAATTTCATCATTTTCCGGTATTCTCAAAATATAATTCGATGGAGGGTTAAATTCAACAACAAATACATTTATCACAAACCAAGAATACATAATTTGTCTCGTTTAAAACTATGTAATAGACTTTATGCATCAGTTTATACCGATATTAAACTGTCAAACAAATAAGTTGTACACTCTCAAATCGGCATCATGTTTATATTATCAGTACATCTCTTTGTTGATTGATGGTCCCCAATGGTCCTTTCAGTCAGTGATTAAATATTGGCACGACTTTAAACGATATATTTGGACATAAAATCATCAGTTGATAAAGTAATCAGTTATATTAAACTATAGGTGCAACTCCCTACTGACGAAATTGAGATCATGGACTGTTTCGGCTGTCATTTTCATACCTTTTTGGCTCACAAATCTTTTGCGTAGTTGCATTGAAGACGATTAATGAAGAAACCCCGTAGATTTTTACTACATAGGCCGAAATGTTCTTAAGTTTTAGTTTTATATCCAGTTGTTTAGTAAGCTTTTGATGGTTTGAGAAAAACAAAACAAAACACGAAAAGAAAAAATAACACAAAAGTATTTCAGAAAATCTTGTGTAAATCGATTACCATGTTAAGGGGCATTTGAACATAATATTCAATACTGATGTGTTGTTTTGAGGTTAAGAAATGACGTCAAATTGTAATTCATTTTTAGTTTATAGGTATTGGATTTTTGTGAGTTTTTTGTTTGGCTGTTAGAGTTTGAAAAGTTAACATAAAAAACCCGACACACAACTATGCATGTAAGGCCTTAAGTATAAGATAAAAAAAACACATTATCATAAACTTTTAATATTATTTGTCTTTTGCGTGTTTCATGGTGACACATTTGTTCGAATCAATATTTACTTGACAGATGTCGAAATAATTAAAATCTACATGTATTATTTTGTTGATTTTTCAGCTATGATTTATTCTTACAAAAGCAGTACATGTATATTATCTGTCTACGATGATGTAACATTTAAATAAATGCATCTAATTAGTATTAAAGCTTGTCTTTGTCTGATAGTAATAGTTTGTTTCTCAGCAATGTAATCTCTTTTGTGGTGACGAAAATGAGCATGAGCCTTAGATATGAAAAAAACTATTCACTTCAGTTATTCCTGATCACGATTTAGCTTTTAACCATAACCTTTGTAAAAGCAAAGACAATTCTTTTTTTTTTTATTATTAATTATTGAACTGACAGATGTTCTTAGTCTAAAATGAGTGACACAGTAAAAAATATAAAGGTAGTGTAGGAAAATTACTATTATATTAACATCAGTAAGGAACTTGACCGTTGCACTTCCTTAATTTAAGAATAATAATTGGCCATATTTTGTGATCATGTATTAATGCAAATTAGTAGAAGAATAATGACAATGAAAAACCCTAGTGAGCGAATGACAGATGGATAAATGAACAGAGGACAAGAGTAACCAAATTTCAGTATATTTTTTTTTTAAATGATAAATTTTCTCTTTGTGTGTTTGCTTTTTGCCGAGTTAATGTGAAAGATTATAAATATAATTATGTATACTATTCTTATGGTGGGTGATACATGCATAGCAGGAGACACTAACCTGTCAACACAACCGGTCTCGCTCCTTAAGGAGTTCATGCGATTCCTTCAATTTAGTTTGTGACCTTGACTTATCACTTTTTAATCGATTTACGAGATTTTAACAGCGTTTATCCTGCGCCTTGATATATATGTGGTTGTCTAGAGATCAACACAACAATGTTACAGTAAAGTGATTGTATACTACCTCCGCAACCTAGTCTAGAACATGTTAATATCCCTGTCACTTCTACGGTAGCGTCGCCTAGCATTATATAATATATATATATATATATATATAACGAGAGAGAGATTTGGGTAACGATACTTAGATGGTAATATATGGAGAGGATGTGTATAAAATCGTGTTGACAAATAAATAACTTAATATCCTTCACCCTGATGGTATTAATAAGAGAGAAAGTGATAACGGATGTATATGTACATTTTTACATTTATAATTCCGTTTTGACAATTTGGGATGTCACAAAAATGTAAGTTTTAATGGTTCTATGCAGTGAAAAATCATGGATTAAATTTTTAAAATAACCTTATAATGTTATATAAGGGAATATACTGAGGGAATATAAAGGATTTTTAGAGTGTATTATATTTCATCGTATTCGCACATTAACCTTTTTTTTTAGTATTGTTGCACAAATCTTTCTACTAGAGTACTGTTTTCTCTTTGTGTTGAATCGTCAGTTCTATACAGTCCGATACCTATTTAGTTTGTTTTTTCTTGAGACTTGTACATTGTACATATAATACACCAGGGAAAAGATTGAAAAGGGGGAGATGTTTCATGACCACCACAAAATCAATTGTTCGATGAGGCTGTTAATTTGTTACATGTAAACCATACCTGTGTTAGACGAGGTTTCCTACACAATTGTTCATTCCTCCAAATCTTTATTAATTTCACCTGCAGTTAAATGTCATATAACTTTAACAAATCAAACGTATTCTGCCATGTAGATTCTGTTAATGACAACAAATAACATGCGTACACACATATTGTTGAATTAATCTATAATACGACCTTCACACGTTTGTCTATTTATACTTTTTACTTGACGTAGAGATAAACTATTTATAGAAATATCATTATAATATATAAATGTACCAATCTCGAGATACCAATAGACTCTTTAAAATGTAATCAGCCAACAGTACATATATTTGTTTATATTAGATTTTGAAGTCGTCAATCAAATGGAGACATCACTTTGATTACAAATGAAATACATGTTAAATCAATATTCTTCCTTCTTCCTTGTGTGATTGTATAAAGGATGTTGGTATCACTGAACAGATTGGGAATAGGCCAAGTATCTCTTAAATAGGAATTACAATAAAATATATACAAGTTCTAGTATGCACATACGCACGACTGCAAATAGGCATTTTTAACAATCTGAATACAGGCCTTGTGTCGCTAAGCGTGTACCAGAATCTGTATTTTCAGGTATAACCCAATAGTCTAGTTCGGGAAAAGTAGGAGTGGTCTTAATCAAAAAGAAATAACATTTGAATAGATATCAAGACAACTGGAGTACCATATGAAAGAGGAGATAGCCAAAAATAAGTTTATAAATCAACCTTTTTAAATTATTACATTTGGAAGAAAATTGAGAGAAAAATACACCGTTCCTATTCTAAAATAACCGTTGTAAGCGTAGGAGATATTAAATGTTTTTTTTTCATTTCATTTCGTCCATTTCATCACATAGAAAAAAAAAACAAATGCTACAAGACGTGTCTCCGATTTTATTTTATAAAAAGAGTCAAGTTTAAAAATAAACTATTTTGAATATTTATGATTTTTAAAGTTATTGAAACAAAAAAAGATCCATTCATTATTCCATATAAAGACTTGATGTTAAAAATCTGAGGAAACGTTTTGCAACTTTTATTTTGTGCTTATTTACGCAAAATAAAACTACATACTGAAAGAACTAATTTCGATAATAAGAACTTTCAAAAAGTATTCAAATTTTCTCCACATATGGTACCTTTTTAATATTAACTTATTTGTAATATGATTTACATAGTGTACAAGCAGTAGATCATTGATTCTCCTTTCTTTCATTACCTCATTCATGACCGACCGTGGGATACCCTCATAGTCAAGGTCGTTTAAAACCCCTTATCAGTAGTCAATTGTCTTGATGTATCAGCAGAGGACAAAGATACAGCGTTTGAAACATAAACAATTGCAAAAATTATCAAAAATAGCCTGTTGTGCTACCTTAATCAGGTTGTATTTAAAAAAAATGAAAAGGTCAGGATGTAAAATGGGTGGTTGATTTATGGCTATATGCAGCCGATATTTTATGCATGGAACCTACGCAAAGTATTGGCTCGCTTAAAGAATTTATCCTGAAAGTGAAACAATTCAGGATCATCTTACCAACAAAAAGTCAACACGTACCAAATCCTCCGAGAAAAGAGACAAGAGTTCAAAAACACGTTATGAAAGAATTAATTATAGACTACGCGTTTAAAAGATATATAACAAAATACATAACGGGAACGAAACAAATAAAACGTTACTGAGATTAACCCTAGTTTTGTTTTAAAGGTGTACCTGTTGCTATTGCTTCAGTTTTCAGTGTTGTACTTTGTACTTTGTGCTTTTAAATATTTTATTGTCGGTGTTGTTTCTATCAATATCAGTCTTGTCTATCTTACGTCCTGAATGTGTTTAGGTTTCAAAATTTCACACTCGATCAACTGTAAGGGTTTGGAAATTACATAACCGATGGATTAGGAATTTGGAGATGTCACATGGTAATATAAAAATCAATTTCTAATCAGTTATTGTGTGATCCATAATCACTTAAAATAACTTGATCAGCGTACTTCATATGAGTAGCATGATATTTATCACTAGTGGTGTTTCCGTTTATCTAGACTTATGCACTTTGGATGTCCATTTGGTCTTTTTTTTTATTAAAGACACCAACGACAAAGACCCCCACTTTATACAGGCACATTAACTCTTGGTGGAGTAAAACGACTCACCCTACCACATTCAAGGTTTTTTTTATGACTCTTGACTTCTTTCATTTTTTAATCTCGATAAAAGAAATAAAAGAAGATACACAGAAGTAATCTGTAATACTGACAGAAGAAAGAAGGAAACCAGATTATAATGTTGTATACAAAATAGATTTAATATTAAAAAAGTCATAACACAGCATTCCCTGTTACAAAATGTCATAAGGTCAGTAATTTTGTTTATTATAAATAAATCTTTTTAAATCAAGCCGACAAGGCAGCTTCCATATTTCCCATACGTGTGACGTCGCTGGCTTCTATTTCAGTTTCATTCAGCATCAGTATAAACTCATCAAATATAGCAGGCTAGCAATTTTGTACGCCAGACTCTCGTTTCGTCTGAATCAGACTAATCAGTGATGCTTGAATCAAAACAGTTGAATAGCCAATTCAAAATAGAAAATCCCGAATAGCAGTGACAATAAGGCTGAGGACAATAAGGCTGAGGATATCTGCGCCCGGGAGAAGGAAACCTTAGTGTTTCAAATAATTCAATATTTTACAAGTAGTAAATTTACAGACAAATGAACTTCTCAATGATATTTTATGTCAACACAAAAGTGCTGACATTTTTAAATATGAAAAAATATTGCGCTAGAACGCTCTGGATTGATTTATGATCATGATAGAATATATTCCAAGTCCCTGGTACTGGGTCGCAATCTTATTGACTGCAGACAAGGTGGGGTTTATGTCCTATCAGGGTACTCGGGGAAGTTTCATTGGTTGGAGGCTTTCTCGCGAGCATGGTAACACATTTCATGCAGCCTTGCCATTGCGTACAATGACGGACAAAAATGAATTACAACTTTGGCGGCTTCCAGTAAGCCTGTGTACGTTGGGAAAAGAGGAACCCGAGCTTAATGGTTACCAAGACTGAGCCCAAATTACAATATATAATTCTTATGTAAATGAATGAATACGGTTAGAACTAGAAAGAAGAAAGGTGCGGATAACTAAAGCATTTCTGGAATCTGACATTGGGAAAACAATGAGACGAACAGTTGCCTAACATTCCCAAAATTTTTCATCCTAACCATAAAAAGAACTGATTGTAACAGGATGCTGTTACGAAGTCTCCCAAACAAAGTCACCATAAGTATTAACACCTAATGACTCTTCAAGGTCAAGGATCAAGGTCATAATTGACCATTTACCTTTTGACCTTTAAATAGGCCGTATGTTATAATGGTTATTACTGAAGATCCCATGTTTCTATCACTAACTGTTCTCATGTTATAATCATTTGAAAATATAGAATTTTTAAATCCCATAGGGTTCTATAGTAAACCCCTCCCTTCTTTTTGCCCCTCAAAGTACCCCTTTAAAGGGATGTGCATCCAAGTAATCCTTAATAATCGACAGCGGGTAGCTAAGGTTTTGATCGTTTACCTTTGATCAATACAAAGAATTGACGAATTGAAATGTCTCGTTTGCGAACTAAAGGGAAAATAAAAGGACGAATAATCATATTTTGCAGCTTTCTCTGGAAATCATCCTGGACTTCCTTTCTAAGAAACAGAGGTATTTTCGTTTTTAGCATTAGTTTAGCATGCAAATCCATTTCACCTTTAGGTGGTATTGTAATTCTTTGGTATGAAACAATGCTTAAAAAGAACTGGTAGCTTACTTTCTAACTCACAGTTAATGATCTGCTTGTAAAGTAAAAATGACTGGTTTGGTTCATTTATGACATTTTTTTCAAAAATAAAGTCATAACCTAATACCACAGGAATATCAATTTCAGCAAAAAATAAAATGTATTTGTTGAATACTAATGGTAATTTTATTGTTCAAAGATGAATTACATTTCGCCATTTTTATTTCATAAGTCATATGTTTTTAGTCTGTTCTGGTTATGGAAAGGCACATTTTGGAGAGCTGAACGCCCATTGAGCCCCCCTGTATCCCCTAACAATGCAAACTTTGCTGATCAATAAAAATTTCTAATATAAAATTTTTTATCAAAGATACCAGATTTAATATTGTGCAACCCGAGACGCGCGTTTGGTTTAAAAAAAAAACAACATGTCAGCGACGCTGGAATCGTAGAAATGTAAAACAAATGCCAAAGTAAGTACGAAGTTGAAGAGGATTGATCGAGGACCCAAAATTCCGAAAGGTTTTGCCGAATATAGCTGAGGTAATCTCCTGGAGTAGAAAAATTTTGTATTCGAACAAATCAACAGTTAGGTGATAAATACGACCATATTAAGATAAGTTATATCATTACAGACTTCTTGGCTGTGGATACCCTTGGGAAGGCAACCTTCACGCAGTGGCATCGACCCAATAGTTTTAATTCATCAAACATACCATCATGTCTGTAAGTCTTTATATTAGTTACGTTGGATCCTTTGTTATTTTATTACCAACTAAAATTTTATCCTCATTCCCAACATCTAACAGTTTCCCGAGTTATCGGGAGACATGTTGCCTTTCTTTATTTTCTTTAGTAAGCATGGTTTGGTTTTTGAGAAAATTTATCTGAATAATCAAGCCTACTATTTTTGTAACTTTGGTTTCTATTTCTTTCTACATTCTCTTTTCCAACAATACTAGCATGGATTTTATCTAACGAGAACAAGACATAATTTGCATAGCTGAACAGTGGTAGTCTGCTGGGAAACTTGTCTATTTATTTGTCAAGTATATCTTTTTTAAATTCTCATATAATAAAGGTAAATATAAAGCTTTATCAATGATGACAACAATACCTTCATAAATGGAAAATTCTATCCCCGATATTTATCCCTGAGTTCCTAAATTATGAATTGCATTGGGCTATACTAAAAGGAACAGCCATTTTATATGTTTAGCCAGTTCAGATAAACTTTAACCTTTCTTTCGTATGCGAAAATCTGTAAAGTGGTCCAAAAGGTCATTAAAAAATGAAACGTGTAGTCATTCAAGCTAGTTCTGCCTTTAAAATTATGAGGTTTAGTGAAACTAATATTATTTGGTACCTCACTTATTAATGGGTAAAAATGGCAACAACTGA